AATAAAGTAGGAATTAATCTTCCTTCAAAAAATAAATAAAATATAAATAAATTTATTATTGAAAAAGTTAAATATAATATTAATAACATAAATAATATATTAAATAAAAAAAAATTAACATAAAATCCTATTTTTAATAAATTTTCTCTTGCTATTAATATTAATATACAAATTCAAAAATACTATTAATATAAATATATTTATAAAAAAAAAAAATAAAAAAAAAAAAAAATTCTTAAAACAATAAATTCTAATCTTAATAAAACAATTAATAAATGTTTATGTTTAGAAACAAAAATTATATTTCCAATTAAAAATATAATAAATACAACAATTAATATATTAAATATTATCATTTGTCATTTTATTTTTGTTTTTATAGTTTAAAAAAAACATTGGTCTTGTAAATCAAAAATAAGAATTTTTCTTTAAAAACTTCAAAGAAAAAGAAATATCTTTATCTATAATCTCCAAAATTATTATTTTTCATAAACTATTCTAATAATTATATCATTATCTATTTTAATATTTTTTATAAATCATCCCCTATCCATAGGAATTTCCATTTTATTTCAAACTTTAATAATCTGCCTCCTTTCTGGAATATTAATTAAAACTTATTGATTTTCTTATATCTTATTTTTAACTTTTATAGGAGGTCTACTAGTTCTTTTTATTTATGTTTCAAGTATTGCTTCTAATGAAATATTTAAAATCTCCTCACTAAATAAAATAAGTACAATTACCTTTTTAATAATTAATTTTATTTTTTCTTATATTTTTTTCTATAATTTAAATTGACTTAATTTTTCTATTAATCTTGAAGAAATAAATAACTTTATACAAACTACAATATTTTTTTTTAATAATGAAAATAAAATTAATTTATCTAAACTTTATAACAATCAAACATTCATAATAATAATAATATTAGTAATTTATTTATTTATTACTCTTATTGCAGTTGTTAAAATTACTAATATTTTTTTTGGACCTCTTCGATCTTCTTAACTAATGATAAATAAATTTTTACCTATTCGAAAAACTCATCCAATTTTAAAAATTATTAATAATACTCTTATTGATTTACCGACACCTTCTAACATCTCAGCTTGATGAAATTTTGGTTCTTTATTAGGTTTATGTCTCATTATTCAAATTATTACTGGACTATTTTTAACTATATACTATACAGCAAATATTGAATTAGCTTTTTACAGAGTAAATTATATTTGTCGAAATGTAAATTATGGTTGATTAATTCGTACTTTACATGCAAATGGAGCATCTTTTTTCTTTATTTGTATTTATATTCATATTGGTCGAGGAATATATTATGAATCTTTTAATTTAAAATATACTTGAATAATTGGAGTTTTAATTCTCTTTTTACTTATAGCAACTGCCTTTATAGGATATGTTTTGCCTTGGGGTCAGATATCATTTTGAGGAGCAACTGTAATTACTAATCTTCTTTCTGCAATTCCTTATTTAGGAAATATATTAGTTACTTGAATTTGGGGGGGATTTGCAGTTGATAATGCTACTTTAACCCGATTTTACACATTTCATTTCCTATTACCTTTTATTATTCTAATAATAGTAATAATTCATTTATTATTTCTTCATATAACAGGATCTAATAATCCTCTAGGAATTAATAGAAACCTAGATAAAATTCCTTTTCATCCATTCTTCTCATTTAAGGATCTTATTGGTTTTTTTATTATATTATTTTTATTAATTATTTTAACTTTAACTAATCCTTATTTATTAGGAGATCCTGATAATTTTATTCCTGCAAATCCATTAGTAACACCAGTTCACATTAAACCAGAATGATATTTTTTATTTGCCTACGCAATCCTTCGATCTATTCCTAATAAATTAGGAGGTGTAATTGCTTTAATTTTTTCTATTCTTATTTTAATTATTCTTCCTTTTACTTTTAATAAAAAAATTCAAGGAATATTTTACCCTTTAAATCAAATTCTTTTTTGATCCTTAACTACAATTATTATTCTTCTAACTTGAATTGGAGCTCGTCCTGTAGAAAATCCTTATATTATTACAGGACAATTATTAACTATTCTTTACTTCTCATATTATATTATTACTCCTATCTTAAATAAATATTGAGATAATTTAATTTTTAATTAATTAATGAGCTTGTACATAAGCATTTGTTTTGAAAACTTAAGAAAGAATATTTATTCTATTAATTTATACTATAAAAATTATACTATAAAAAAATTTTAATTCCTATATATAATAATAAAAAATTTAAAGAAATAGGTAAATAAACCTTTCAAACCAAATACATTAACTTATCATATCGATATCGTGGTAATGTTCCTCGAACTCAAATAAATAAAAATGATACTAATCTTAATTTTAAATAAAAAAATAATCTTATTCTATATCCCCCTAAATAAATTAATACAATTAATATACTTATAAATAAAATTCTAGAATATTCAGCTAAAAAAATTAAAGCAAATCCCCCTCTTCTATATTCAATATTAAATCCTGAAACTAACTCTCTTTCCCCTTCAGCAAAATCAAAAGGAGTTCGATTAGTCTCAGCTAATCTTGATGAAATTCAACATAATCTTAATGGATATATAATAAAAATAAATCAAATTAAATTTTGATATTTATTAAATATTAATATATTAAAATCTATAACTATAATAATTCTAGATATTAAAATTAAAGCTAATCTAACTTCATAAGAAATAGTTTGAGCTACAGCACGTAATCCTCCTAATAAAGCATAATTAGAATTAGAAGATCAACCAGAAACTATAACTGTATAAACCCCTAATCTAGTACAACATAAAAAAAATAAAATTCCCATATTAAATCTAATTAAATTAAAATAATAAGGAATTACTAATCAAATTATTAATGATAATAAAAATCTAATAACTGGAGAAAAATAATAAGATAAATAATTAGAATAATTGGGGGAAAGATGCTCCTTGGTAAATAATTTAATAGCATCTGCAAAAGGTTGAAAAATTCCCATTAATCCAACTTTATTAGGACCTTTCCGAATCTGAATATATCCTAATAATTTTCGTTCTAATAAAGTTAAAAAAGCTACTCCTACTAAAACTCCAATAATTAAAATAATTACTCCTAAAATAATTATTAATAAATCTTTCAATAACATTTACTATCTATATAATAAATTATATATCAATGAATTCTAAAATCATCACATTTTTCTGCCAAAATAGTTAAATATAATTTTTAATTTAAATATTTAATTTAAAAATTAATAAAATTCTAAATAATAAATTTAATTTAAATATTTATTCCTTTCGTACTAAAATATCTTATTTTACTGGGGATAGAAACCAACCTGGCTTACGCCGGTTTGAACTCAGATCATGTAAGAGTTTAAAAGTCGAACAGATCAAAAAATTTAAACTTTTGCATTTAATTTTTATCTTAATCCAACATCGAGGTCGCAAACCTTTTTATCGATATGAACTCTCTAAAAAGATTACGCTGTTATCCCTAGGGTAACTTTTTCTTTTAATCTAAAAATTAGGATCATAAATTCACTTATTCATGTTTATTAATCAAAAAAAGTTTTATTTATTTTTCTATCACCCCAACAAAATAAATTAATTAAATTTAACATTAAAAAAAATTATATATAATTTAAAATTATTAATTTATAAAACTCTATAGGGTCTTCTCGTCTTTTAATATTATTTCAGCTTTTTCACTAAAAAATTAAATTTTACTTATTAAATAAGAGACAGATTATATCTCATCCAATCTTTCATTCCAGTCACCAATTAAGAGACTAATGATTATGCTACCTTTGTACAGTCAATATACTGCAGCCCTTTAATTTATATCAGTGGGCAGATTAGACTTTAAATTATTATCAAAAAGACATGTTTTTAATAAACAAGTGAATATAAATTTTTGCCGAATTCCTTTTATTTAATTAAAATTCAAATTTATAATTTTTATTTAATTTAATATACTAATTTTATCATTATTTCATTATATATTTAATTTTTATAATTATTTTTATAAAAAATTAAATTTTAATATTAAATTTTATTTTAATATAAGATTATTTATAAAAAAATATAATTTTTAAACAATATAAATTTTAAAAATCTTAAATAAATATTAATTTTATTATAAAATTTTAAATTAAAGCTTATCCCTTAAAATATTTTATTTAAATTATAATAAATTAATTAATTAATTTATTAAAATATTTTTTTTTAAATATAAAATTAAATTTTTTTCTAAAAAAACTAGATATCTTTAAAAACGAATAACATTTCATTTCAAATTAATTATTAAAAATATTTTTGCTACAATAACTTTTATAATTAATTAACTCTTTTAAATTCGAGAAATTTAATTTATATAAATTTTTTTTAATAAACTCTGATACACAAGATACAATAAATTAAATTTACTTTCATAAAAATTAATTTTCAATTATTTCATAATTCTTTCACAATACTAATTCACTTTAAAATTTTCAATTTTTTCTTTATATAATACTTTAACCCCCATTAAAATATTATTTATTTAAAAATTCTTTTATTATTTCATAAATTTATTAATTTCTCCCCTTCAAATTAATTAAATAAATTTAATATCATTTCAATGTAAATGAAATACTTCTTCAAGCTCTAATTTGTATTTCTAGAAACACTTTCCAGTACTTCTACTTTGTTACGACTTATTTCAATTTATAAATGAAAGCGACGGGCAATATGTACATATTTTAATTTTTAATCATTTTAATAAATTAAATAAAATTACATTTAAATCCACCTTCAATTTAATTTTACAATTAAATATTCATTTAAATAAATTTATTGTAATCCATTATATTCTTAATTATAATCTGCATCTTGATCTGATTTAAATTTTATTTTAAATTTTAAAATATATTTCTTTTAAAATATTTTTATAACAACGATATACAAAATTTCAAATTAAGTAAATTTATTCGTGGAATATCAATTATTAAACAGATTCCTCTAAATGAACTAAAATACCGCCAAATTATTTAAGTTTCAATAAAAAATTACCTACTATTTTAGTTTTTTTAAAATTAATTTTTTAATAATAGGGTATCTAATCCTAGTTTATAATAAAATTTATTAATTCATAATTTTTTTATAAATTTTAATTAAATTAAAATTTCACCTAATAATTTAATATTTAATTTAAAAATTAAAATATTTATTATTAACTAAAAAAATTTATTTTAAAATTTGTTTAACCGCAACTGCTGGCACAAATTTAGTTTTTAATTTTCATATTACTAAATCTTAATTTCTTAAATTTTTAATATTAATTACTACTTTATTTAATTTAATTATTATTTAAATAATTAAAATTTTATACAAAAATTTGTATGTAAAATAAATTCATAATAAATTTTTAAACTATAAAAATTTTTTTTTATATAATAATTAATATTATATAGATTTTTTTTTTTTTTTTTTTATAATAATTATTTAATTAAATATTATATTTATATGTATATATATATATATATGTATATATTAAATATTTAATTTTAATTATTAAATTTTAAATAATTTCTTTTTTTTTCTTATTTAATATTAAAATTAAAAATTAATTTCAATATTCATCAATATATATTCATTGAAATAATTAATTAATTATTAAATATAATATTTTATTAAAAAAAAATAATAAATTATTTTATTTTAATTTAATTAAAATTTATACATATATATATATATATATAAATAAATTAAAAATAATAAATTACTTATAAAAATTTATTATAATTAAACCATTTTTAATAAATTTTCTATAAAAAAAAAAAAAAATTAAAAATAAGCTAAATTTAAGCTTTTGGGTTCATACCTCAAATATAAAGTTAATCCTTTTTTTTAAATAATAAAGTGCCTGATTAAAGGATTATTCTGATAGGATAAATTAAGTAATTTTTTTACCTTTATTATATTTTATAGAATTAAACTATATCTAATAGTATCAAAAACTATTGTGCTTCTTACACTAAAATATATTATTTTATTTAAATAATAAAATTAAATTTAAATTTTAATTAAATTAATAAATTTATTTAATATTTTCTTTCAAATTAATTCCAATAAAATATTTTTTTTATTTATTCTATTTTTCAGAACATTAATCTCTATTTCTTCTAATTCTTGATTTGGATGTTGAATTGGTCTAGAAATTAATCTTTTAAGTTTTATCCCCCTAATCTCCCACTCTACTAATTTATTTTCTACTGAAGCTTCTTTAAAATACTTTCTTACTCAATCTATTGCTTCCATTAATTTTATTTTTTCAATTTTAATTAAATTAACATTAATAAAAAATTTTGAAATAAATAATTTTATTTCAATTATAATTAATTCTTCCCTATTAATAAAAATAGGTTCAGTACCTTTTCATTTTTGATTCCCTAATATTTCTGAAGGTTTATCTTGATTTAATAATTTTTTATTAATAACATGACAAAAAATTACCCCCATAATTTTATTGTCTTATTATTTAAATAAAAATTTTATTATTATTATTATAACTTTAAATACTATTATTGGAGCTATTGGAGGTCTTAATCAATCTTCTTTACGTAAACTTATAACTTTTTCCTCAATTAATAATTTAGGATGAATATTAGCTTCAATTTTAATTAGAGAAAATCTTTGAATATTTTATTTAATTATATATTCATTTTTAATCAGAATCATATGTTTTTTTTTTCAATTATTAAATATATTCTTTATTAATCAACTTTTTATCTCTAATATTAATTACTCAATTAAAATATTCCTATTAATTAATTTTTTATCATTAGGAGGATTACCCCCCTTTATTGGATTTTTTCCAAAATGAATCTTAATTAATTTTTTATTATCAATAGATTTTTTTATTATTAGATTTATTTTATTATAACAAGATTAATTATTTTATTTTTTTATATTCGAATTATTTATTCATCCTTTTTATTTAATTATATTAATTTAAAATGAATAAAAATTTTTTTAAAAAATAAAAATTTAATTTTTATTAATTTTTTATCTTTTTTATCAATTACAGGAATAATTTTAAGAACTTTAATTTTTTTATAAGGTTTTAGGTTAATAAAAACTAATAATCTTCAAAATTATTCATAAAGAAAATTTCTTTAAGCCTTAATAAATTTTCTTTATACCATGAAATTTGCAATTTCATATCATTTTTTGACTATAAAACTTATAATAAAAGAGAAATTTCTCGTTAATAAATTTACAATTTATCGCTTATAAACTCAGCCATTTTATTTTTTTTTTGCGAAAATGACTTTTTTCAACAAATCATAAAGATATTGGTACTTTATATTTTATTTTTGGAATTTGATCAGGAATAGTTGGAACTTCCCTAAGATTATTAATTCGCTGAACTTGGTAATCCTGGTTGACTTATTGGTGATGATCAAATCTATAACGTAATTGTTACAGCCCATGCTTTTGTGATAATTTTCTTCATGGTTATACCAATTATAATTGGAGGATTTGGAAATTGACTGGTTCCTTTAATATTAGGGGCACCTGATATAGCGTTCCCTCGCTTGAATAACTTAAGTTTTTGACTTTTACCCCCTTCTCTTACTTTATTAATTTTTAGAAGAATTGTTGAAAATGGAGCAGGAACAGGATGAACAGTTTATCCACCTTTATCTTCTAATATTGCCCATAGAGGTAGATCTGTAGATTTAGCTATTTTTTCTCTCCATTTAGCTGGAATTTCTTCTATTTTAGGAGCTGTAAATTTCATTACAACAGTTATTAATATAAAATTAAATGGTTTATCATTTGATCAAATACCATTATTTATTTGATCTGTAAGAATTACAGCACTATTATTACTTCTTTCATTACCTGTTCTAGCTGGCTATTACTATACTTTTAACAGATCGTAATTTAAATACTTCATTTTTTGATCCTGCTGGGGGAGGGGACCCAATTTTATATCAACATTTATTTTGATTTTTTGGGCATCCTGAAGTTTATATTTTAATTTTACCAGGATTTGGGATAATTTCTCATATTATTAGCCACGAGAGAGGTAAGAAGGAAGCGTTTGGTACTTTAGGGATAATCTATGCTATACTAGCTATTGGGGTTTTAGGATTTGTTGTATGGGCTCACCATATATTTACTGTAGGTATGGATGTTGACACTCGAGCATATTTTACTGCAGCAACTATAATTATTGCTGTACCTACAGGAATTAAAATTTTTAGTTGACTAGGTACTCTCCATGGGACTCAATTAAATTATAGTCCTTCTATACTTTGAAGATTAGGATTTGTATTTTTATTTACTGTAGGGGGATTAACAGGAGTAATTTTATCTAATTCTTGAATTGATATTATTCTTCATGATACATATTATGTAGTTGCTCATTTTCATTATGTTCTTTCTATAGGAGCTGTATTTGCTATTTTTGCGGGGTTCATTCATTGATATCCTTTATTTACAGGTCTTTCAATAAATCCTTTTAGATTAAAGATTCACTTTATTGTAATATTTATTGGAGTAAACCTAACTTTTTTCCCTCAACATTTTTTAGGGTTTGCAGGTATGCCTCGACGATATTCTGATTATCCTGATGCTTATACTTCTTGAAATATTATTTCCACCCTAGGATCTTATATTTCATTATTAGCCATATTATTTTTAATTATTACTATTTGAGAATCTATAATTAATCAACGAACAGTATTATTTCCCCTTAATTTATCTTCTTCAATTGAATGATATCAAAATCTTCCCCCAGCTGAACATTCATATAATGAACTTCCTATTTTAAGAAATTTCTAATATGGCAGATTATATGTAATGGATTTAAACCCCATTTATAAAGGATTATCCTTTTTTTAGAAATTGCAACTTGATCTAATTTTAATTTACAAAATAGTGCCTCTCCTCTTATAGAACAAATTATTTTTTTTCATGATCATACTTTAATTATTTTAATTATAATTACTATTTTAGTAGGATATATTATAATTAACTTATTTTTTAATAAATTTATTAATCGATTTTTACTTGAAGGTCAAATAATTGAATTAATTTGAACTGTTCTACCAGCAATTACTCTAATTTTTATTGCATTACCCTCTCTTCGTTTATTATATTTATTAGATGAATTAAATAATCCTAGAATTACCCTAAAAACTATTGGTCATCAATGATATTGAAGTTATGAGTACTCAGATTTCAATAATATTGAGTTTGACTCCTATATAATCCCAACTAATTAACTTCCTTTAAATAATTTTCGTCTTTTAGATGTAGATAATCGTATTATTTTACCCATAAATAATCAAATTCGAATTTTAGTTACTGCAACAGACGTAATCCACTCCTGAACTATCCCATCATTAGGTGTAAAAGTAGATGCAAACCCTGGACGTCTTAATCAAACTAATTTTTTTATTAATCGACCTGGAATTTTTTATGGTCAATGTTCAGAAATTTGCGGAGCAAATCATAGATTTATACCTATTGTAATTGAAAGAATTTCAATTAAAAATTTTATTAATTGAATTAATAATTACTCTTCATTAGATGACTGAAAGCAAGTATTGGTCTCTTAAACCACTTTATAGTAAATTAGCAATTACTTCTAATGAAAGAATTAGTTAAAATTATAACATAAATATGTCAAATTTAAATTATTACCTAAGTAATATTCTTTTATTCCACAAATAATACCTATTAATTGACTAATTTCATTTATTTTTTTTATTATTGTTTTTATTATTTTTAATATTATAAATTATTATATTTTTAATATTAAAAATAATAATAAAAATAATAAAAAAAAAAAAATTTTTAATAATTTAATCTGAAAATGATAAGTAATTTATTTTCAATTTTTGATCCTTCAACTAATATTTTTAATTTATCTTTAAATTGATTAAGAACCTTAATTGGTCTTTTATTTATTCCTTATTCATTTTGATTAATTCCTAATCGATATCATATTTTTTGAAACTTAATTTTTAATAAATTACATAATGAATTTAAAACCTTACTAGGAAATAATCCTTTATTTAATAATTTTACATTAATTTTTATTTCAATATTCTCATTTATTTTATTTAATAATTTTTTAGGTTTATTTCCATATATTTTTACAAGAACTAGACATCTTACTCTTTCTCTTTCCTTATCTTTACCATTATGATTAAGATTCATATTATATGGATGAATTAATAATACTCAACATATATTTATTCATATAATTCCTCAAGGTACTCCTACTATTTTAATACCATTTATAGTATTAATTGAAACAATTAGAAACATTATTCGACCTGGAACTTTAGCTGTACGATTAACAGCTAATATAATTGCTGGACATCTTTTAATGACTTTACTTAGTGGAACAGGATCTAAATTTCCCCCTTCTTTAGTAATTATTTTAGTTATTATTCAAATTTTACTTTTAACTTTAGAATCAGCAGTTGCAGTAATTCAATCTTATGTCATTGCAATTTTAAGAACTCTTTATTCTAGTGAAGTTAATTAATGAAAACTAACCATAATCATCCATTTCATTTAGTAGATTATAGTCCTTGACCTTTAACAAGTGCTATTGGAATTATAACTCTAGTTTCAGGTATAATTAAATGATTTCATAATTATAATTTTAATTTATTAATTTTAGGTTATATTATTGTTATCCTCTCTATATATCAATGATGACGAGATATTACACGAGAGGGAACTTATCAAGGTAAACATACTATTCTAGTCTCAAAAGGTCTACGTTGGGGTATAATTTTATTTATTACTTCTGAAGTTCTTTTTTTTGTTTCTTTTTTTTGAGCTTTTTTCCATAGAAGTCTTGCCCCAAATATTGAAATTGGAACAATTTGACCCCCTACTAGAATTACCCCATTTAATCCATTTCAAATTCCATTATTAAATACCATTATTCTAATTAGATCAGGAGTATCAGTCACATGAGCTCATCATGCTATTATAGAAAATAATAACTCTCAAATAACCCAAGGTTTATTTATTACAATTATTTTAGGAATTTATTTTACTATTTTACAAGCCTATGAATATTTTGAAGCTCCATTCACTATTGCTGATAGAGTTTATGGTTCCACATTTTTTATAGCAACAGGATTTCATGGATTACACGTAATTATTGGAACACTATTTTTTTAACTGTATGTTTACTTCGTCATATTTTAAATCATTTTTCAAGTAGTCACCATTTCGGATTTGAAGCTGCTGCTTGATACTGACATTTTGTTGATGTAGTTTGATTATTTTTGTTTATTTCAATTTATTGATGAGGTAACTAGTATCTTTTTAATATAATAAGTATATTTGACTTCCAATCAAAATGTCCATTTTTTTTTAATATAAATAATTATTTTAATTTTACTTATTTCTACTATTATTCTTATTATTTCAAATATTATAATAATTATTTCTATTATCCTATCAAAAAAAACATTTTCAGATCGAGAAAAATCCTCACCTTTTGAATGTGGATTTGACCCCAAATCCTCAGCTCGAATACCATTTTCCCTCCACTTTTATCTTATTACTGTTATTTTTTTAATTTTTGATGTAGAAATTGCCTTAATTTTTCCTATTATTCCTCTATTCAATTTAGTCAATTTTATTATTTGATCAAAAATTAGTTTCTTTTTTATTATTGTCCTTTTAATTGGATTATATTATGAATGAAATCAAAATATATTAAATTGAACAAATTAATTTTTTTCTTTAGGATTATAGTTTAAATTCAAAACATTTGATTTGCATTCAAAAAATATTGAACTCTCAATTTATCTTATAATAAATAAGAAGCAATTTTTGCATTTAATTTCGACTTAAAAGATAGAGTATTTTCTCCTTATTTATTAATTGAAACCAAAATAGAGGTATATCACTGTTAATGATACTATTGAATAACTAATTCCAATTAAATTTTATTTCTTATTTTTAAGAAATATAAAGTTTAAAATTAAGCTGCTAACTTAATTTTTAGTGGTTTAATTCCATTAATATTTCTTATTTATATAGTTTAATAAAAACATTACATTTTCATTGTAAAAATAAAATTTTATTATTTTTATAAATAAATTATCTAAAGATTAAATCAATCTCCTTAATATCTTCAATATTATGCTCTTAATTATATAAGCTATTTAAATTTTATTAAATTATTATTAAAAATATAAAAATTATTATTCATATAACAAATCTAAATAAATAAATTTTAAAATTATTTACTTGATAAAAATTATAAAAAATTGAATAATTTTTTAAAATATAATATATACCTTGTCCTCTATATAATTCACTTCATCCTAAATCAATATATTTTAATAAATTTTGTCCTAACTTTAAAAAATAATAATTTAAACCATAAGTAGATAATCTAGGTATAAATCATATTAAACATAAAAATCTTCTAATATTATAAGTTATTAAAAATTTATTTATTGAATAAATTATTATATTTCTAACAAAATAACCAATAAACCCTCCCAATAATCTAACGTATACAACTATTATTTTTATATTTAAAGGTAAATAAATTATATATGGATTTAAAAAAATTATTCAACTTAATATAGAACCACTAATAACTCTTATAAAAAGTAAAACTATTATTCTTTTTAATATAGTATAATCTTCATCATATAAATTATAAATTCTTATTAAATTATAATCATTTACTATTAAATATATAATTAATCGAATAGTATAAAATATAGTTAATCCTGTAGATAAATAATAAATATAATAAATTAATAAATTTAAATTTCTTAAACTTACTATTTCTAAAATTAAATCCTTAGAATAAAATCCCGCTAAAAAGGGAATACCACATAATGCCAAATTAGAAATATTTATACATAAAGAAGTTATAGGAATATAATTTCTAATTCCTCCTATTAATCGAATATCTTGAGTATCATTTATTATATGAATAATAACTCCAGCACATATAAATAATAAAGCCTTAAATATAGCATGAGTTAATAAATGAAAAAAAGCTAAATCCGGTATTCCTATACTTAAAATTCTTATTATTAAACCTAATTGTCTTAAAGTAGATAAAGCAATAATTTTTTTTAAATCAAACTCATAATTAGCTGAAATACCTGCTATAAATATTGTTAAACCAGATAATAATAATAAAATTTTTAAAAATAATATATCAATCAATAATAAATTAAAACGAATTAATAAATATACTCCAGCAGTTACTAAAGTTGAAGAATGTACTAAAGCAGATACAGGAGTAGGAGCTGCCATAGCAGCAGGTAACCAAGAACTAAAAGGAATCTGAGCTCTTTTAGTTATAGCAGCAATAATAATTAATCTTCTAATTATATATATTTCATAATCATTTTTTATAAATATTAAATAAAAAATATAATTTCATCTACCATAATTTAATATCCAAGAAATAACAATTAAAATAAAAACATCACCTACACGATTTGATAAAGCTGTTAATATTCCAGCATTATAAGATTTTAAATTTTGATAATAAATAACTAAACAATAAGAAACTAATCCTAACCCATCTCAACCTAATAAAATACTTACAATGTTAGGACTAATAATTAATAAAATTATAGAAAATACAAATAATAAAACTAAAATAATAAAACGATTTAAATTTAATTCTGATCTTATATATCTTTTTCTATAATAAATTACAACTGAAGAAATTAATAAAACAAATATTATAAATAATAAAGATATTCAATCTAATAAAATAGATATTACTACTCTTACTGAATTTAAAGTAATAACTTCTCACTCTAAAAAAATTACTATATTATTTATAATAAAATAAATTATTATTATAAAATTTACTATTCTTATAAAAAATAAAAAAAAAAATCTTAAAAAACAAATTGAAATATTTTTTTTAATAACTTAAAATAAGTAATCTTATATTTTTGATACCACAAATCAATATTTTATTTTAAATTATTTAAGTAAAATCAAATTATTACTCAATCTACCTTTAAAATTATTAAATTTAAAGGTAATCAATGTAATATTAATAATAAATATTCTCGAGAAACTCCTGTATAAAATCTATATAATCCTCTATAATATTTTCCATGTTGAGTATAAGAATATAAATATAATCTATAACCAGCTCTAAAAAAAGAAATTAATATTAATATAAATATTGAAACCCAAGATCATCTTATTAATCTATTAATTAAACTAATTTCCCCTATTAAATTTAAACTGGGAGGAGCAGCTATATTAGAAGATATTAATAAAAATCATCATAATCTTATTGAAGGTATAAAATTCATTATACCCTTATTAATATATAAACTTCGTCTATGTAATCGTTCATAACTAATATTAGCTAAACAAAATATTCCCGAAGAACATAAACCATGCCCAATTATTAATAAATAAGAACCTATAAAACCTCAATAATTTAATGTTATAATTCCCCCAATTACCACTCCTATATGACAAACAGAAGAATAAGCAATTAAAGATTTCATATCAACTTGACAAAAACATTTTAATCTAATATAAAATCCACCAACTAATCTAATAATAATTCAAATAAAATTTAATTTTAAACTAAGTTTTTCAAGTAAAATTAAAATTCGCAATAAACCATAACCCCCTAATTTTAACATAATCCCAGCTAAAATTATTGAACCCGAAACAGGAGCTTCTACATGAGCTTTAGGAAGTCATAAATGAACAAAATACATTGGTATCTTAACTAAAAAAGCTAAAATTATTGAAAAATATAATAAATAAAAATCAAAATTTATAAATTTTAAAAAATAAAATATAATATTATTTCTTTTATTAAAAATATAAAAAATTCCTATTAATAACGGTAAAGATGCAAATAAAGTATAAAATAATAAATATATCCCAGCCTGAATTCGTTCAGGTTGATATCCTCAACCTACAATTAATAATAAAGTAGGAATTAATCTTCCTTCAAAAAATAAATAAAATATAAATAAATTTATTATTGAAAAAGTTAAATATAATATTAATAACATAAATAATATATTAAATAAAAAAAAATTAACATAAAATCCTATTTTTAATAAATTTTCTCTTGCTATTAATATTAATATACAAATTCAAATTCTTAATAAAATTAAACCAAAAGATATAATATCACAAGAAAATATATATCTTAAATTAGTATTATAATAAATTCTAATATTTAAATTTATAAATATAAATATTATTAATATCATTAAATTTTGAACCAATCAAAATATATTTTTTTTAAAACATAAAGGAATTATAAAAATAATTATAAATATAAATTTTATCATATTTATTTTATTTATTAATTTATAATAAATTAAATCTTTGAAAATAATCATTTCCATGAGTTCGAATTATAGATACTAAAATTGATAATCCTAAAGCACCTTCACAAACTGAAAAAACTAAAAATACTATTAATATAAATATATTTATTTCAATTAATCTTAAATAAATTAATAAAAAAAAAAAAATTCTTAAAACAATAAATTCTAATCTTAATAAAACAATTAATAAATGTTTATGTTTAGAAACAAAAATTATATTTCCAATTAAAAATATAATAAATACAACAATTAATATATTAAATATTATCATTTGTCATTTTATTTTTGTTTTTATAGTTTAAAAAAAACATTGGTCTTGTAAATCAAAAATAAGAATTTTTCTTTAAAAACTTCAAAGAAAAAGAAATATCTTTATCTATAATCTCCAAAATTATTATTTTTCATAAACTATTCTTTGATATTCTAAAAATATTTTTTTTTATAATAATTATATCATTATCTATTTTAATATTTTTTATAAATCATCCCCTATCCATAGGAATTTCCATTTTATTTCAAACTTTAATAATCTGCCTCCTTTCTGGAATATTAATTAAAACTTATTGATTTTCTTATATCTTATTTTTAACTTTTATAGGAGGTCTACTAGTTCTTTTTATTTATGTTTCAAGTATTGCTTCTAATGAAATATTTAAAATCTCCTCACTAAATAAAATAAGTACAATTACCTTTTTAATAATTAATTTTATTTTTTCTTATATTTTTTTCTATAATTTAAATTGACTTAATTTTTCTATTAATCTTGAAGAAATAAATAACTTTATACAAACTACAATATTTTTTTTTAATAATGAAAATAAAATTAATTTATCTAAACTTTATAACAATCAAACATTCATAATAATAATAATATTAGTAATTTATTTATTTATTACTCTTATTGCAGTTGTTAAAATTACTAATATTTTTTTTTTGGACCTCTTCGATCTTCTTAACTAATGATAAATAAATTTTTACCTATTCGAAAAACTCATCCAATTTTAAAAATTATTAATAATACTCTTATTGATTTACCGACACCTTCTAACATCTCAGCTTGATGAAATTTTGGTTCTTTATTAGGTTTATGTCTCATTATTCAAATTATTACTGGACTATTTTTAACTATATATTATACAGCTAATATTGAATTAGCATTTTATAGAGTTAATTATATTTGTCGAAATGTTAATTATGGATGATTAATTCGAACTTTACATGCAAATGGAGCATCTTTTTTCTTTATTTGTATTTATTTACATATTGGACGAGGAATTTATTATGAATCCTTTAACTTAAAATACACATGAATAATCGGAGTTTTAATTCTCTTTTTACTTATAGCAACTGCCTTTATAGGATATGTTTTGCCTTGGGGTCAGATATCATTTTGAGGAGCAACTGTAATTACTAATCTTCTTTCTGCAATTCCTTATTTAGGAAATATATTAGTTACTTGAATTTGGGGGGGATTTGCAGTTGATAATGCTACTTTAACCCGATTTTACACATTTCATTTCCTATTACCTTTTATTATTCTAATAATAGTAATAATTCATTTATTATTTCTTCATATAACAGGATCTAATAATCCTCTAGGAATTAATAGAAACCTAGATAAAATTCCTTTTCATCCATTCTTCTCATTTAAGGATCTTATTGGTTTTTTTATTATATTATTTTTATTAATTATTTTAACTTTAACTAATCCTTATTTATTAGGAGATCCTGATAATTTTATTCCTGCAAATCCATTAGTAACACCAGTTCACATTAAACCAGAATGATATTTTTTATTTGCCTACGCAATCCTTCGATCTATTCCTAATAAATTAGGAGGTGTAATTGCTTTAATTTTTTCAATTCTTATTTTAATTATTTTACCTTTTACATTTAATAAAAAAATTCAAGGTATTCAATTTTACCCTTTAAATCAAATTCTTTTTTGATCCTTAACTACAATTATTATTCTTCTAACTTGAATTGGAGCTCGTCCTGTAGAAAATCCTTATATTATTACAGGACAATTATTAACTATTCTTTACTTCTCATATTATATTATTACTCCTATCTTAAATAAATATTGAGATAATTTAATTTTTAATTAATTAATGAGCTTGTACATAAGCATTTGTTTTGAAAACTTAAGAAAGAATATTTATTCTATTAATTTATACTATAAAAATTATACTATAAAAAAATTTTAATTCCTATATATAATAATAAAAAATTTAAAGAAATAGGTAAATAAACCTTTCAAACCAAATACATTAACTTATCATATCGATATCGTGGTAATGTTCCTCGAACTCAAATAAATAAAAATGATACTAATCTTAATTTTAAATAAAAAAATAATCTTATTCTATATCCCCCTAAATAAATTAATACAATTAATATACTTATAAATAAAATTCTAGAATATTCAGCTAAAAAAATTAAAGCAAATCCCCCTCTTCTATATTCAATATTAAATCCTGAAACTAACTCTCTTTCCCCTTCAGCAAAATCAAAAGGAGTTCGATTAGTCTCAGCTAATCTTGATGAAATTCAACATAATCTTAATGGATATATAATAAAAATAAATCAAATTAAATTTTGATATTTATTAAATATTAATATATTAAAATCTATAACTATAATAATTCTAGATAATAAAATTAAAGCTAATCTTACTTCATAAGAAATAGTTTGTGCTACAGCTCGTAATCCCCCTAATAAAGAATATCTTGAATTAGAAGATCAACCTGCAATTATAACTGTATATACCCCTAATCTAGTACAACATAAAAAAAATAAAATTCCCATATTAAATCTAATTAAATTAAAATAATAAGGAATTAATATTCAAATTATTAAACATAAAATAAATCTTAAAACAGGAGAAAAATAATAACAAATATAATTAGAAAAATTAGGATAAGTTTGCTCCTTGGTAAATAATTTAATAGCATCTGCAAAAGGCTGCAAAATCCCAATTAATCCAACTTTATTAGGACCTTTCCGAATCTGAATATATCCTAATAATTTTCGTTCTAATAAAGTTAAAAAAGCTACTCCTACTAAAACTCCAATAATTAAAATAATTACTCCTAAAATAATTATTAATAAATCTTTCAATAACATTTACTATCTATATAATAAATTATATATCAATGAATTCTAAAATCATCACATTTTTCTGCCAAAATAGTTAAATATAATTTTTAATTTAAATATTTAATTTAAAAATTAATAAAATTCTAAATAATAAATTTAATTTAAATATTTATGATCCTTTCGTACTAAAAAAGCTATTTTAAGTCTGGGGATAGAAACCAACCTGGCTTACGCCGGTTTGAACTCAGATCATGTAAGAGTTTAAAAGTCGAACAGACTCTCCAGCAAAACTTCTGCACCTTGCTAACTTCTTAATCCAACATCGAGGTCGCAAACCTTTTTATCGATATGAACTCTCTAAAAAGATTACGCTGTTATCCCTAGGGTAACTTAGTCTTTTAATCTCAAAATTAGGATCATAAATTCACTTATTCATGTTTATTAATCAAAAAAAGTTTTATTTATTTTTCTATCACCCCAACAAAATAAATTAATTAAATTTAACATTAAAAAAAATTATATATAATTTAAAATTATTAATTTATAAAACTCTATAGGGTCTTCTCGTCTTTTAATATTATTTCAGCTTTTTCACTAAAAAATTAAATTTTACTTATTAAATAAGAGACAGATTATATCTCATCCAATCTTTCATTCCAGTCATCAATTAAAAGACTAATGATTATGCTACCTTAGCACAGTCAAAATACTGCGGCCCTTTAATTTTAAAATCAGTGGGCAGATTAGACTTTAAATTATTATCAAAAAGACATGTTTTTGTTAAACAAGTGGACATATATTTTTGCCGAATTCCTTTTATTTAATTAAAATTCAAATTTATAATTTTTATTTAATTTAATATACTAATTTTATCATTATTTCATTATATATTTAATTTTTATAATTATTTTTTAAAAAAAAATTAAATTTTAATATTAAATTTTATTTTAATATAAGATTATTTATAAAAAAATATAATTTTTAAACAATATAAATTTTAAAAATCTTAAATAAATATTAATTTTATTATAAAATTTTAAATTAAAGCTTATCCCTTAAAATATTTTATTTAAATTATAATAAATTAATTAATTAATTTATTAAAATATTTTTTTTTAAATATAAAATTAAATTTTTTTCTAAAAAAACTAGATATCTTTAAAAACGAATAACATTTCATTTCAAATTAATTATTAAAAATATTTTTGCTACAATAACTTTTATAATTAATTAACTCTTTTAAATTCGAGAAATTTAATTTATATAAATTTTTTTTAATAAACTCTGATACACAAGATACAATAAATTAAATTTACTTTCATAAAAATTAATTTTCAATTATTTCATAATTCTTTCACAATACTAATTCACTTTAAAATTTTCAATTTTTTCTTTATATAATACTTTAACCCCCATTAAAATATTATTTATTTAAAAATTCTTTTATTATTTCATAAATTTATTAATTTCTCCCCTTCAAATTAATTAAATAAATTTAATATCATTTCAATGTAAATGAAATACTTCTTCAAGCTCTAATTTTCATTTCTAGATACACTTTCCAGTACATCTACTTTGTTACGACTTATCTCCTCTTTATTAATGAAAGCGACGGGCAATATGTACATATTTTAATTTTTAATCATTTTAATAAATTAAATAAAATTACATTTAAATCCACCTTCAATTTAATTTTACAATTAAATATTCATTTAAATAAATTTATTGTAATCCATTATATTCTTAATTATAATCTGCATCTTGATCTGATTTAAATTTTATTTTAAATTTTAAAATATTATTTTTCTTTTAAAATATTTTTATAACAACGATATACAAAATTTCAAATTAAGTAAATTTATTCGTGGAATATCAATTATTAAACAGATTCCTCTAAATGAACTAAAATACCGCCAAATTATTTAAGTTTCAATAAAAAATTACCTACTATTTTAGTTTTTTTAAAATTAATTTTTTAATAATAGGGTATCTAATCCTAGTTTATAATAAAATTTATTAATTCATAATTTTTTTATAAATTTTAATTAAATTAAAATTTCACCTAATAATTTAATATTTAATTTAAAAATTAAAATATTTATTATTAACTAAAAAAATTTATTTTAAAATTTGTTTAACCGCAACTGCTGGCACAAATTTAGTTTTTAATTTTCATATTACTAAATCTTAATTTCTTAAATTTTTAATATTAATTACTACTTTATTTAATTTAATTATTATTTAAATAATTAAAATTTTATACAAAAATTTGTATGTAAAATAAATTCATAATAAATTTTTAAACTATAAAAATTTTTTTTTATATAATAATTAATATTATATAGATTTTTTTTTTTTTTTTTTTATAATAATTATTTAATTAAATATTATATTTATATGTATATATATATATATATGTATATATTAAATATTTAATTTTAATTATTAAATTTTAAATAATTTCTTTTTTTTTCTTATTTAATATTAAAATTAAAAATTAATTTCAATATTCATCAATATATATTCATTGAAATAATTAATTAATTATTAAATATAATATTTTATTAAAAAAAAATAATAAATTATTTTATTTTAATTTAATTAAAATTTATACATATATATATATATATATAAATAAATTAAAAATAATAAATTACTTATAAAAATTTATTATAATTAAACCATTTTTAATAAATTTTCTATAAAAAAAAAAAATTAAAAATAAGCTAAATTTAAGCTTTTGGGTTCATACCTCAAATATAAAGTTAATCCTTTTTTTTAAATAATAAAGTGCCTGATTAAAGGATTATTCTGATAGGATAAATTAAGTAATTTTTTTACCTTTATTATATTTTATAGAATTAAACTATATCTAATAGTATCAAAAACTATTGTGCTTCTTACACTAAAATATATTATTTTATTTAAATAATAAAATTAAATTTAAATTTTAATTAAATTAATAAATTTATTTAATATTTTCTTTCAAATTAATTCCAATAAAATATTTTTTTTATTTATTCTATTTTTCAGAACATTAATCTCTATTTCTTCTAATTCTTGATTTGGATGTTGAATTGGTCTAGAAATTAATCTTTTAAGTTTTATCCCCCTAATCTCCCACTCTACTAATTTATTTTCTACTGAAGCTTCTTTAAAATACTTTCTTACTCAATCTATTGCTTCCATTAATTTTATTTTTTCAATTTTAATAAAAATAACTTTAATAAAAAATTTTGAAATAAATAATTTTATTTCAATTATAATTAATTCTTCCCTATTAATAAAAATAGGTTCAGTACCTTTTCATTTTTGATTCCCTAATATTTCTGAAGGTTTATCTTGATTTAATAATTTTTTATTAATAACATGACAAAAAATTACCCCCATAATTTTATTGTCTTATTATTTAAATAAAAATTTTATTATTATTATTATAACTTTAAATACTATTATTGGAGCTATTGGAGGTCTTAATCAATCTTCTTTACGTAAACTTATAACTTTTTCCTCAATTAATAATTTAGGATGAATATTAGCTTCAATTTTAATTAGAGAAAATCTTTGAATATTTTATTTAATTATATATTCATTTTTAATCAGAATCATATGTTTTTTTTTTCAATTATTAAATATATTCTTTATTAATCAACTTTTTATCTCTAATATTAATTACTCAATTAAAATATTCCTATTAATTAATTTTTTATCATTAGGAGGATTACCCCCCTTTATTGGATTTTTTCCAAAATGAATCTTAATTAATTTTTTATTATCAATAGATTTTTTTATTATTACATTTATTTTTATTATAACAAGATTAATTATTTTATTTTTTTATATTCGAATTATTTATTCATCCTTTTTATTTAATTATATTAATTTAAAATGAATAAAAATTTTTTTAAAAAATAAAAATTTAATTTTTATTAATTTTTTATCTTTTTTATCAATTACAGGAATAATTTTAAGAACTTTAATTTTTTTATAAGGTTTTAGGTTAATAAAAACTAATAATCTTCAAAATTATTCATAAAGAAAATTTCTTTAAGCCTTAATAAATTTTCTTTATACCATGAAATTTGCAATTTCATATCATTTTTTGACTATAAAACTTATAATAAAAGAGAAATTTCTCGTTAATAAATTTACAATTTATCGCTTATAAACTCAGCCATTTTATTTTTTTTTTTTTTTTTTGCGAAAATGATTATTTTCAACTAATCATAAGGATATTGGAACATTATATTTTATTTTTGGAGTATGATCAGGAATGGTTGGGACTGCTCTAAGTATATTAATTCGAGCAGAACTTGGTAATCCTGGTTCTCTTATTGGAGATGATCAAATTTATAATACTATTGTTACAGGTCATGCCTTTATTATAATTTTTTTTATAGTAATACCTATTATAATTGGTGGATTTGGTAATTGATTAGTTCCCCTAATATTAGGAGCCCCTGATATAGCTTTCCCCCGAATAAATAATATAAGTTTTTGATTATTACCTCCTTCTCTTACTTTATTAATTTTTAGAAGAATTGTTGAAAATGGAGCAGGAACAGGATGAACAGTTTATCCACCTTTATCTTCTAATATTGCCCATAGAGGTAGATCTGTAGATTTAGCTATTTTTTCTCTCCATTTAGCTGGAATTTCTTCTATTTTAGGAGCTGTAAATTTCATTACAACAGTTATTAATATAAAATTAAATGGTTTATCATTTGATCAAATACCTTTATTTATTTGAGCTGTAAGAATTACAGCACTATTATTACTTCTTTCATTACCTGTTTTAGCTGGAGCTATTACTATATTACTTACTGATCGAAATCTAAATACATCATTTTTCGATCCTGCAGGAGGAGGTGATCCTATTCTTTATCAACATTTATTTTGATTTTTTGGCCATCCAGAAGTGTATATTTTAATTTTACCGGGATTTGGTATAATTTCTCACATTATTTCCCAAGAAAGAGGAAAAAAAGAAACATTTGGTTGTTTAGGGATAATTTATGCTATATTAGCTATTGGATTATTAGGATTTATTGTATGAGCTCACCATATATTTACAGTTGG